TACAGATCCATCGATCTACGGATCCAGCGATCTATAAATCCATCGATCTACCGATCCAGCGATCTAAGGATCAGGCATCGATCTAAGGATCCAGCGATCTACAGATCCATCGATCTACCGATAAAGCGATCTAGAGATCCAGCGATCTAGAGATCCAACGATCTATAGATTAATCGATCTACCGATCCAGCGATCTATAGATCCATCGATCTACAAATACATGGATCTACTGATACAGCAATCTACCAATCCAGCAATCTATGATTCCATCGATCTACCGATCCAGCAATCTATAGATCCATCGATCTACCGATCCAGCGATCTACAGATCCAGAGATCTACCGATAAACCGATCTACCGATCCAGCGATCTACCGATCCAGGAACCTACCAATCCAGCGATCCACAGATCCAGTAATCTACAGATCCAGAGATCTAGATCTACGGAAAAAGCCATCTACCGATCCAGCGATCTACCGATCCAGCGATCTACAGATCCATCGATCTACCGATAAAGCGATCTAGAGATCCAGCGATCTAGAGATCCAACGATCTATAGATTAATCGATCTACCGATCCAGCGATCTATAGATCCATCGATCTACAAATACATGGATCTACTGATACAGCAATCTACCAATCCAGCAATCTATGATTCCATCGATCTACCGATCCAGCAATCTATAGATCCATCGATCTACCGATCCAGCGATCTACAGATCCAGAGATCTACCGATAAACCGATCTACCGATCCAGGAACCTACCGATCCAGCGATCCACAGATCCAGTAATCTACAGATCCAGAGATCTAGATCTACGGAAAAAGCCATCTACCGATCCAGCGATCTACCGATCCAGGGATCTAAGGATCCATCGATCTACGGATCCATCGATCTATCGATCCAGCGATCTGAGGATCCATCGATCTACGGATCCATCGATCTATCGATCCAGCGATCTAGGGATCCATCGATCTACCGATCCAGCGATCTACAGATCCAACAAACTATAGATTAATCGATCTACCGATCCAGCGATCTATAGATCGATCGATCTACAGATCCATAGATCAACTGATCCAGCGATCTACAGACCCAGAAATCTACCGATAAAGCGATCTACCGATCCAGCGATCTACCCATCCAGCGATCTATACATCCATCGATCTACGTATCCATCGATCTACCGATACAGCGATCTACAGATCCCGCGATCTACAGATCCACCAACCTACCGATAAAGCGATCTACCGAAAAAGCGATCTACAGATCCAGCAATCTACCGATCCAGCCATCTACCGATCCAGCGATCTACCGATTCAGGAATCTACCGATCTAGCGATCTACAGATCCAGCAATCTACAGATCCAGAGTTCTAGATCTACGAAAAAGCGACCTACCGATCCAGGGATCTACAGATCCAGCGATCTACCGATCCAACGATCTATAGATCCATCGATCTACGTATCCATCGATCTAAAGATCCACCGATCTACAGATCCAAAGATCTACCGATAAAGCGATCTACCGATCCAGGAACCTACCGATCCAGCGATCCACAGATCCAGTAATCTACCGATCCAGCGATCTACAGATCCAGTGGCCTACCGATAAAGCGATCTACCGATCCAGGAATCTACCGATCCAGCGATCTACAGATCCAGTAATCTACAGATCCAGAGATCTAGATCTACCGAAAAAGCGATCTACCGATCCAGCGATCTACAGATCCATCAATCTACCGATCCAGCGATCTACAGATACAGCGACCTACAGATCCAGCAATCTACTGATCCAGCGATCTATAGATCCAGCGATCAACCGATCCAGCCATCTACACATCCAGCGATCTGCCGATCCAGTGATCTATAGATCCATCGATCTACCGATCCAGCGATCTATCGATCCAGCGCTTTAAAGATCTAGTGATGTACCGATAAAGCGACCTACCGATCCAGCGATCTACAGATCCAGCGATCTATGAATCCATCGATCTACCGATCTAGCGATCTACAGATCAAGCGATCTACCGATCCAGCGATCTATAGATCCCTCGATCTACGTATCCATCGATCTACCGATCCAGCGATCTACAGTTCCAGCGATCTACAGATCCAGCAATCTACCGATAAAGCGGTCTACCGATAAAGCGATGTACAGATCCAGCGATCTACCGATCTAGCGATCCGTAGATCCATCGATCTACCGATCCGGAGTTCTACAGATCCAGAGATCTACGGTTAAAGCGATCTACCGATCCAACGATCTACAGATCCAGCGATCTACCGATCCAGGAATTTACCGACCAAGCGATCTACAGATCTAGATCTACCGAAAAGCGATCTACTGATCCAGCGATCTACAAATCTAGAGATCTACCGATAAAGCGATCTGCCGATCCAGCGATCTACCGATCCAGTGATCTACAGATCCAGAGATCTACATCTACCGAAAAAAGCGATCTACTGATTCAGCGATCTACAGATCCGCGATCTACCGATCCAGCGATCTATAAATCCAGCGATCTACCGATAAAGCGATCTGACGAACTAGCGATCTACAGATCCATCGATCTACCGATCCATCGATCTACAGATCCAGCGATCTACCGATCCAGCGATCTATGAATCCATCGATCTACCGATCTAGCTATCTTCAGATCCATCGATCTACCTATCCAGCGATCTATAGATCCATCGATCTACCGAGCCAGCGACCTACTGATCCAGCGATCTACCGATCCAGCGATCTATAGATCCAGCAATCTACAGACCCAGCGATCTACAGATCCAGCGATCTATAGATCCAGCGATCTACAGATCCATCGATCTACAGATCCATCGATCTACCGATCCATCGATCTACAGATCTATCGATCTACCGATCCATCGATCTACAGATCCATCGATCTACCGATCCAGCGATCTATGAATCCATCGATCTACCGATCCAGCTATCTTCAGATCCATCGATCTACCTATCCAGCGATCTATAGATCCATCGATCTACCGAGCCAGCGACCTACTGATCCAGCGATCTACCGATCCAGCGATCTATAGATCCAGCAATCTACAGATCCAGCGATCTACAGATCCAGCGATCTATAGATCCATCGATCTACGGATCCAGCGATATACAGATCCATCGATCTACCGATCCAGAGGTCTACAGAATCCATCGATCTTCCGTTCCAGCGATCTATAGATCCATCTATCTACCGATTCAGCGATCTACAGATCCAGCGATCTATAGATCCATCGATCTACCGATCCAGGGATCTATAGATCCATCGATCTACCGATCCAGCGATCTATAGATCCATCGATCTACCGATCCAGCGATCTACAGATCCAGCGATCTACCGACCCAGCGATCTATAGATCCAGCGATCTAAAGATCCACCGATCTTCACGTCCACCGATCTACCCATCAAGTGATCTATAGATCCAGCGATCTACAGATCCATGGATCTACAGATCCAGCGATCTATAGATCCAGCGATCTATAGATCCATCGATCTACCGATCCAGCGATCTGCAGATCCAGCGTTCTACTGATCCAGCGATCTATAGATCCAGCGATCTACAGATCGAGCGATCTAGCGATCCAGCGATCTACAGATCCAGCGATCTATAGATCCATCGATCTACCGATCGAGGGATTTACAGATCCATCGATCTACCGATCCAGCGATCTATAGATCCAGCGATCTACCGATCCAGCGATCTACCGATCCTGCGATCTATACATCCAGCAATCTACAGATCAAGCGATATACAGATCCAGCAATCTATAGATCCAGCAATCTACAGATCCACCGATCCATAGATCTATCGATCTACGGATCCAGCGATCTATAGATAAATCCATCTACCGGTCATGCGATTTACAGATGCAGCGATCTACCGATCAAGGAATCTACCGATCCAGTGATCTATAGATCCATCGATCTACCGATCCAGCGATTTACAGATGCAGCGATCTTTCGATCCAGCAATCTATAGATCCAGCGATCTACCGATCCAGCAATCTATAGATCCAGGGATGTATAGATCCAGCGAACTACCGATCCAGCGATCTACAGATGCAGCGATCTATCGATCCAGCGATATATAGATCCAGCAATCTAAAGATCCTGCGATCAACGGATCAAGCGATCTACCGATACCGCGATCTATAGATCCATCCATCTAACGGTCATGCGATTAACAGATGCAGCGATCTACCGATCAAGCGATCTATAGATTCATCGATCTACCGATCCAGCGATCTACAGATCCATCGATCTATTGATCCAGCGATCTATAAATCCAGCGATCTATAGATCCAGCGATCTACAGATCCATGGATCTACAGATCCAGCGATCTATACATCCATCGATCTATCGATCCAGCGATCTACAGATTCAGCGATCTATATATCTATCGATCTACCGATCCAGCGATCTATCGATCCAGCGATCTACAGATTCAGCGATCTATCGATCCATTGATCTACCGATCCAGCGATCAACAGATCCATCGATCTACCGGTCCAGCGATCCATAGATCCATCGAGCTACAGTTCTAGCGATCTAAAAATAGATCGATCTATCAATCTATCTACCTAGAACGTCAGGAAACACTTTTTCTTGATCTGTTTTTGATAAATACGAAAGATGAAAAAACTTCAACTTTTTGACCAAAATCATGGACTATCCCCTTTGCAAAAATGCCAATTTTGCCTTCTTTTTAAATCCATGTTTATATTATCTGGAAAGGCTTGTTTTCTAACGAGAACGTCACCAAATACTTTTTCTGGGTGTATTTTGCATAAAACGAAACGTTCACAAAATTTCAAAATTTTGCCCAAAACCACGGACTAACCCCTTTGCAAAAATGCCAATTTTCTTGGGTTTTTGAAACCGATGTATTTTTTGGTCAGAAAGGCTTGTTTGCTATATAAAACGTCGAAAAGCATTTTTTCACCATTTATTTTCACCATCTATGACATGGGAACACATGGGAATACAGGGGGTTACAATGGGTTACAGGCGGTTAAAAGGGGTTACAAGGAGTTACAAAAAGTTACAAGGGGTGACAGGGAGTGACAACGGGTTGCAGGGGGTTACAAAGGATTATAGAAACCTTTTTTCTAACTAGAACGTTCCCAGATACTTTTTCTTGGTCTATTTTGCATAAAAATCAAAGTTGAAGAAATCTCTACTTTTTGATCAAGACGATGGACTAACCCTTTTGGAAAAATTCTAATTTTGCGTTTTTCGTAAACAGTTGTTTTTATAGTCTTTAAAGGCTTCTTTTTTATCTAGAACGTCAGCAAACACTTTTTGTCGATCTATTTTTGATAAATACAAAAGATGAAAAAACTTCAACTTTTTGACCAAAATCATGGACTATCCCCTTTGAAAAAATGTCAATTTTGCCTTTTTTTTAAATCCATGTTTATATTGTCTAGAAAGGCTTGTTTTCTAACGAGAACGTCACCAAATACTTTTTCTGGGTGTATTTTGCATAAAACGAAACGTTCACAAAATTTCAAATTTTTGACCAAAACCATGGACTAACCCCTTTGCAAAAATGCCAATTTTGTGGGTTTTTGAAACCGATGTTTTTTTTTGTTCAGAAAGGCTTGTTTGCTATATAAAACGTCGAAAATCGTTTTTTCACGATCTATTTTCACGATCTATGACATGGGAATACAGGGGGTTACAAGGGGTTACAGGGGGTTACAAGGGGTTACAAGGGGTTACAAGGGGTTAAAGGGGGTTACAAGGGGATTCAAGGGGTGACAGGGGGTGACAAGGGGTTACAGGGGGTTACAAGGGGTTACAAGGGGTTACAGGGAGTTACAAGGGGTTACAAGGGGTGACAGGGGGTGACAAGGGGTTACAGGGGGTTGCAAAGGATTATAGACACCTTTATTTTAACTAGAAGGTTCCCAGATACTTTTTCTTGGTCTATTTTGCATAAAAATCAAAGTTGAAGAAATCTCTAATTTTTGATCAAAACGATGGACTAACCCCTTTGGAAAAATTCTAATTTTCGGTTTTTCGTAAACAGTTGTTTTTATAGTCTTTAAAGGCTTCTTTTTTTATCTAGAACGTCAGCAAACACTTTTTCTCGATCTATTTTTGATAAATACAAAAGATGAAAAAACTTCAACTTTTTGACCAAAATCATGGACTATCCCCTTTGCAAAAATGCCAATTTTGCCTTCTTTTTAAATCCATGTTTATATTGTCTAGAAAGGCTTGTTTTCTAACGAGAACGTCACCAAATACTTTTTGTGGGTTTATTTTGCATAAAACGAAACGTTCACAAAATTTCAAATTTTTGACCAAAACCATGGACTAACCCCTTTGCAAAAATACCAATTTTGTGGGTTTTTGAAACCGATGTTTTTTTTGTTCAGAAAGGCTTGTTTGCTATATAAAACGTCCAAAATCGTTTTTTCACGATGTATTTTCACGATCTATGACATGGGAATACAGGGGGTTACAAGGGGTTACAAGGGGTTACAGGGGGTTACAAGGGGTTACAAGGGGTGACAGGGGGTGACAAGGGGTTACAGGGGGTTGCAAAGGATTATAGAAACCTTTATTTTAACTAGAAGGTTCCCAGATACTTTTTCTTGGTCTATCTCGCATAAAAATCAAAGTTGAAGAAATCTCTAATTTTTGATCAAAACGATGGACTAACCCCTTTGGAAAAATTCTAATTTTCGGTTTTTCGTAAACAGTTGTTTTTATAGTCTTTAAAGGCTTCTTTTTTTATCTAGAACGTCAGCAAACACTTTTTCTCGATCTATTTTTGATAAATACAAAAGATGAAAAAACTTCAACTTTTTGACCAAAATCATGGACTATCCCCTTTGCAAAAATGCCAATTTTGCCTTCTTTTTAAATCCATGTTTATATTGTCTAGAAAGGCTTGTTTTCTAACGAGAACGTCACCAAATACTTTTTCTGGGTTTATTTTGCATAAAACGAAACGTTCACAAAATTTCAAATTTTTGACCAAAACCATGGACTAACCCCTTTGCAAAAATGCCAATTTTGTGGGTTTTTGAAACCGATGTTTTTTTGTTCAGAAAGGCTTGTTTGCTATATAAAACGTCGAAAATCGTTTTTTCACGATCTATTTTCACGATCTATGACATGGGAATACACGGGGTTACAAGGGGTTACCGGGGGTTACAAGGGGTTACAAGGGGTTACAGGGGGTTACAAGGGGTTACAAGGGGTGACAGGGGGTGACAAGGGGTTACAGGGGGTTGCAAAGGATTATAGAAACCTTTATTTTAACTAGAAGGTTCCCAGATACTTTTTCTTGGTCTATCTCGCATAAAAATCAAAGTTGAAGAAATCTCTAATTTTTGATCAAAACGATGGACTAACCCCTTTGGAAAAATTCTAATTTTCGGTTTTTCGTAAACAGTTGTTTTTATAGTCTTTAAAGGCTTCTTTTTTTATCTAGAACGTCAGCAAACACTTTTTCTCGATCTATTTTTGATAAATACAAAAGATGAAAAAACTTCAACTTTTTGACCAAAATCATGGACTATCCCCTTTGCAAAAATGCCAATTTTGCCTTCTTTTTAAATCCATGTTTATATTGTCTAGAAAGGCTTGTTTTCTAACGAGAACGTCACCAAATACTTTTTGTGGGTGTATTTTGCATAAAACGAAACGTTCACAAAATTTCAAATTTTTGACCAAAACCATGGACTAACCCCTTTGCAAAAATGCCAATTTTGTGGGTTTTTGAAACCGATGTTTTTTTTGTTCAGAAAGGCTTGTTTGCTATATAAAACGTCGAAAATCGTTTTTTCACGATCTATTTTCACGATCTATGACATGGGAATACAGGGGGTTACAAGGGGTTACAGGGGGTTACAAGGGGTTACAAGGGGTTACAGGGGGTTACAAGGGGTTACAAGGGGTGACAGGGGGTGACAAGGGGTTACAGGGGGTTGCAAAGGATTATAGAAACCTTTATTTTAACTAGAAGGTTCCCAGATACTTTTTCTTGGTCTATTTCGCATAAAAATCAAAGTTGAAGAAATCTCTAATTTTTGATCAAAACGATGGACTAACCCCTTTGGAAAAATTCTAATTTTCGGTTTTTCGTAAACAGTTGTTTTTGTTTTTTTTATCTAGAACGTCAGCAAACACTTTTTCTCGATCTATTTTTGATAAATACAAAAGATGAAAAAACTTCAACTTTTTGACCAAAATCATGGACTATCCCCTTTGCAAAAATGCCAATTTTGCCTTCTTTTTAAATCCATGTTTATATTGTCTAGAAAGGCTTGTTTTCTAACGAGAACGTCACCAAATACTTTTTCTGGGTGTATTTTGCATAAAACGAAACGTTCACAAAATTTCAAATTTTTGACCAAAACCATGGACTAACCCCTTTGCAAAAATGCCAATTTTGTGGGTTTTTGAAACCGATGTTTTTTTTGTTCAGAAAGGCTTGTTTGCTATATAAAACGTCAAAAATCGTTTTGTCACGATCTATTTTCACGATCTATGACATGGGAATACAGGGGGTTACAAGGGGTTACAGGGGTTACAAGGGGTTACAAGGGGTTACAGGGGTTACAAGGGGTTACAAGGGGTGACAAAGGGGTTACAGGGGTTGCAAAGGATTATAGAAACCTTTATTTTAACTAGAAGGTTCCCAGATACTTTTTCTTGGTCTATTTCGCATAAAAATCAAAGTTGAAGAAATCTCTAATTTTTGATCAAAACGATGGACTAACCCCTTTGGAAAAATTCTAATTTTCGGTTTTTCGTAAACAGTTGTTTTTATAGTCTTTAAAGGCTTCTTTTTTTATCTAGAACGTCAGCAAACACTTTTTCTCGATCTATTTTTGATAAATACAAAAGATGAAAAAAAAACTTCAACTTTTGACCAAAATCATGGACTATCCCCTTTGCAAAAAATGCCAATTTTGCCTTCTTTTTAAATCCCTGTTTATATTGTCTAGAAAGGCTTGTTTTCTAACCAGAACGTCACCAAATACTTTTTCTGGGTGTATTTTGCATAAAACGAAACGTTCACAAAATTTCAAATTTTTGACCAAAACCATGGACTAACCCCTTTGCAAAAATGCCAATTTTGTGCGTTTTTGAAACCGATGTTTTTTTTTTCAGAAAGGCTTGTTTGCTATATAAAACGTCGAAAATCGTTTTGTCACGATCTATTTTCATGGGAATACAGGGGAATACAGGGGTTACAAGGGGTTACAGGGGTTACAAGGGGTTACAAGGGGTTACAGGGGTTACAAGGGGTTACAAGGGGTGACAGGGGTGACAAGGGGTTACAGGGGTTGCAAAGGATTATAGAAACCTTTATTTTAACTAGAAGGTTCCCAGATACTTTTTCTTGGTCTATCTCGCATAAAAATCAAAGTTGAAGAAATCTCTAATTTTTGATCAAAACGATGGACTAACCCCTTTGGAAAAATTCTAATTTTCGGTTTTTCGTAAACAGTTGTTTTTATAGTCTTTAAAGGCTTCTTTTTTTTTTTTTTATCTAGAACGTCAGCAAACACTTTTTCTCGATCTATTTTTGATAAATACAAAAGATGAAAAAAAACTTCAACTTTTTGACCAAAATCATGGACTATCCCTTTGCAAAAATGCCAATTTTGCCTTCTTTTTAAATCCATGTTTATATTGTCTAGAAAGGCTTGTTTTCTAACCAGAACGTCACCAAATACTTTTTCTGGGTGTATTTTGCATAAAACGAAACCTTCACAAAATTTCAAATTTTTGACCAAAACAATGGACTAACCCCTTTGCAAAAATGCCAATTTTGTGCGTTTTTGAAACCCATGTTTTTTTTTGTTCAGAAAGGCTTGTTTGCTATATAAAACGTCAAAATCGTTTTGTCACGATCTATTTTCACGATCTATGACATGGGAATACAGGGGGTTACAAGGGGTTACAGGGGTTACAAGGGGTTACAAGGGGTTACAGGGGGTACAAGGGGTTACAAGGGGTGACAGGGGGTGACAAGGGGTTACAGGGGTTGCAAAGGATTATAGAAACCTTTATTTTAACTAGAAGGTTCCCAGATACTTTTTCTTGGTCTATCTCGCATAAAAATCAAAGTTGAAGAAATCTCTAATTTTTGATCAAAACGATGGACTAACCCCTTTGGAAAAATTCTAATTTTCGGTTTTTCGTAAACAGTTGTTTTTATAGTCTTTAAAGGCTTCTTTTTTTATCTAGAACGTCAGCAAACACTTTTTCTCGATCTATTTTTGATAAATACAAAAGATGAAAAAACTTCAACTTTTTGACCAAAATCATGGACTATCCCCTTTGCAAAAATGCCAATTTTGCCTTCTTTTTAAATCCATGTTTATATTGTCTAGAAAGGCTTGTTTTCTAACGAGAACGTCACCAAATACTTTTTCTGGGTGTATTTTGCATAAAACGAAACGTTCACAAAATTTCAAATTTTTGACCAAAACCATGGACTAACCCCTTTGCAAAAATGCCAATTTTGTGGGTTTTTGAAACCGATGTTTTTTTTGTTCAGAAAGGCTTGTTTGCTATATAAAACGTCAAAAATCGTTTTGTCACGATCTATTTTCACGATCTATGACATGGGAATACAGGGGGTTACAAGGGGTTACAGGGGGTTACAAGGGGTTACAAGGGGTTACAGGGGGTTACAAGGGGTTACAAGGGGTGACAGGGGGTGACAAGGGGTTACAGGGGGTTGCAAAGGATTATAGAAACCTTTATTTTAACTAGAAGGTTCCCAGATACTTTTTCTTGGTCTATTTCGCATAAAAATCAAAGTTGAAGAAATCTCTAATTTTTGATCAAAACGATGGACTAACCCCTTTGGAAAAATTCTAATTTTCGGTTTTTCGTAAACAGTTGTTTTTATAGTCTTTAAAGGCTTCTTTTTTTATCTAGAACGTCAGCAAACACTTTTTCTCGATCTATTTTTGATAAATACAAAAGATGAAAAAACTTCAACTTTTTGACCAAAATCATGGACTATCCCTTTGCAAAAATGCCAATTTTGCCTTCTTTTTAAATCCATGTTTATATTGTCTAGAAAGGCTTGTTTTCTAACGAGAACGTCACCAAATACTTTTTGTGGGTTTATTTTGCATAAAACGAAACGTTCACAAAATTTCAAATTTTTGACCAAAACCATGGACTAACCCCTTTGCAAAAATGCCAATTTTGTGGGTTTTTTTGAAACCGATGTTTTTTTTTCACAAAGGCTTGTTTGCTATATAAAACGTCGAAAATCGTTTTGTCACGATCTATTTTCACGATCTATGACATGGGAATACAGGGGTTACAAAAGGGTTACAGGGGGTTACAAGGGGTTACAAGGGGTTACAGGGGGTTACAAGGGGTTACAAGGGGTGACAGGGGGTGACAAGGGGTTACAGGGGGTTGCAAAGGATTATAGAAACCTTTATTTTAACTAGAAGGTTCCCAGATACTTTTTCTTGGTCTATTTCGCATAAAAATCAAAGTTGAAGAAATCTCTAATTTTTGATCAAAACGATGGACTAACCCCTTTGGAAAAATTCTAATTTTCGGTTTTTCGTAAACAGTTGTTTTTATAGTCTTTAAAGGCTTCTTTTTTTATCTAGAACGTCAGCAAACACTTTTTCTCGATCTATTTTTGATAAATACAAAAGATGAAAAAACTTCAACTTTTTGACCAAAATCATGGACTATCCCCTTTGCAAAAATGCCAATTTTGCCTTCTTTTTAAATCCATGTTTATATTGTCTAGAAAGGCTTGTTTTCTAACGAGAACGTCACCAAATACTTTTTGTGGGTTTATTTTGCATAAAACGAAACGTTCACAAAATTTCAAATTTTTGACCAAAACCATGGACTAACCCCTTTGCAAAAATGCCAATTTTGTGGGTTTTTGAATCCGATGTTTTTTTTGTTCAGAAAGGCTTGTTTGCTATATAAAACGTCGAAAATCGTTTTTTCACGATCTATTTTCACGATCTATGACATGGGAATACAGGGGGTTACAAGGGGTTACAGGGGGTTACAAGGGGTTACAAGGGGTTACAGGGGGTTACAAGGGGTGACAGGGGGTGACAAGGGGTTACAGGGGGTTGCAAAGGATTATAGACACCTTTATTTTAACTAGAAGGTTCCCAGATACTTTTTCTTGGTCTATCTCGCATAAAAATCAAAGTTGAAGAAATCTCTAATTTTTGATCAAAACGATGGACTAACCCCTTTGGAAAAATTCTAATTTTCGGTTTTTCGTAAACAGTTGTTTTTATAGTCTTTAAAGGCTTCTTTTTTTATCTAGAACGTCAGCAAACACTTTTTCTCGATCTATTTTTGATAAATACAAAAGATGAAAAAACTTCAACTTTTTGACCAAAATCATGGACTATCCCCTTTGCAAAAATACCAATTTTGCCTTCTTTTTAAATCCATGTTTATATTGTCTAGAAAGGCTTGTTTTCTAACGAGAACGTCACCAAATACTTTTTGTGGGTTTATTTTGCATAAAACGAAACGTTCACAAAATTTCAAATTTTTGACCAAAACCATGGACTAACCCCTTTGCAAAAATGCCAATTTTGTGGGTTTTTGAAACCGATGTTTTTTTTGTTCACAAAGGCTTGTTTGCTATATAAAACGTCAAAAATCGTTTTGTCACGATCTATTTTCACGATCTATGACATGGGAATACAGGAGGTTAGAAGGGGTTACAGGGGGTTACAAGGGGTTACAAGGGGTTACAGGGGGTTACAAGGGGTTACAAGGGGTGACAGGGGGTGACAAGGGGTTACAGGGGGTTGCAAAGGATTATAGAAACCTTTATTTTAACTAGAAGGTTCCCAGATACTTTTTCTTGGTCTATTTCGCATAAAAATCAAAGTTGAAGAAATCTCTAATTTTTGATCAAAACGATGGACTAACCCCTTTGGAAAAATTCTAATTTTCGGTTTTTCGTAAACAGTTGTTTTTATAGTCTTTAAAGGCTTCTTTTTTATCTAGAACGTCAGCAAACACTTTTTCCCGATCTATTTTTGATAAATACAAAAGATGAAAAAACTTCAACTTTTTGACCAAAATCATGGACTATCCCCTTTGCAAAAATGCCAATTTTGCCTTCTTTTTAAATCCATGTTTATATTGTCTAGAAAGGCTTGTTTTCTAACGAGAACGTCACCAAATACTTTTTGTGGGTTTATTTTGCATAAAACGAAACGTTTACAAAATTTCAAATTTTTGACCAAAACCATGGACTAACCCCTTTGCAAAAATGCCAATTTTGTGGGTTTTTGAATCCGATGTTTTTTTTGTTCAGAAAGGCTTGTTTGCTATATAAAACGTCGAAAATCGTTTTTTCACGATCTATTTTCACGATCTATGACATGGGAATACAGGGGTTACAAGGGGTTACAGGGGGTTACAAGGGGTTACAAGGGGTTACAGGGGGGTTACAAGGGGTTACAAGGGGTGACAGGGGTGACAAGGGGTTACAGGGGTTGCAAAGGATTATAGAAACCTTTATTTTAACTAGAAGGTTCCCAGATACTTTT